TGATTTTTGTACTTGTAATGTCTAGTTAGCAATGGCAGAAACAGTACTTGTAATGTCGAGTTAGCAATGACACAAACATTCTTCTAGCCGGAAGAACATAAAACCTTTACAAGATGAGAATCTCAGATTAGAATAAAACAAGGTATAGTTCATAAATTGAAATTAATAAATGTTGTGACACACAGTACTTGTTGGATGAAGAGGAAGTAAAAACTTTACACAATAAGTAACATGTTAAGTTTGGTCAGAACCTATGTTCACATGCAGAATACTAAAAAAAACATGGAACACTCATAAGCTGACATTTAATACTTTTTACAGTAATTGCATTGTTTCTAATTATTTTATTTCAGATCTGGCTTTATTCAAAAAATTTTTTTATTTGAACTGTTTAAATTCTTAGTTATGCAAAGTATTGGCCTATTATTAACATTATTATTCACTTGTGTTTTTACAGTACTTGCTGCAATAGTTGTATAATTTTAAGTATAACATCATTATCAACTATGCATTTTTGATACCATTATATTTGTATATTTAACAGTTATATCATCTCTGTCACAGTTGTAAGACTGACAGCTATGTGTGTGTGTGCTTTATTTTTTATACCAAATGTGTTATCCTAGAACCGAAGACATACGCCAATATGGTAAGTAAGAATGCGCCAGGGGCTGGAGGAATTTGTGGAACTGTCTCAGCTGGAGCAACGATACTTGGACCTGTGGATAATGCATTAGATTCTCAGCCAAAACCAGATGTCCCTGTATTTACCAAAGTTCACCCAAGTGGTGGTGTGACAAGTAATTCAAGTCCTTCACTTGGATCAAGTGGGAGTCCAAATACAGTTGGTGAATCATTTCAAGGCCAGCGGATGCCTCGTGCTTCTCGAAACTTGTTTCAAGGAATGAACCGTGGCGATGTTCGAGAGACCACCCCCAACTCAGTGAGTGGAAGAACTAGTGGAACACCTGAGGCAGAAGGAAGGAAAATGGGTATGCTACCTTACCCAGATTGTCAACAGCTTTTTGTTGGAAACTTGCCCCATACAATCAGTGAAGAAGAACTCAAAGATTTCTTCAGCAAGTATGGCCGAGTTTTGGAGATGCGTATAAACACCAAGCCTCCTCAGAAAATGAATGGTGGTACTAAAGTACCAGTAAGTATTAAAGGATTGTAGATTTTTATTTTTTCACTAAGATCATGTTTCAATTATATTCTGCTTTTGAAAATGGTGTTAGGAATATTTGGATTTTTTAACTTTTGTATTGTACAAATTGTTTTTTTTTTGTGTGTAATATTTTCAGTTGGTGAGTTGTATCATTTTGGTGTTTTTAAAAATATAATAAAGCTACCCAACTCAGCTTCCAGAAATGATGTTAGCTGATGTGACAATGAGTTAAACTACTGTTTAAAGGAATTTCAAGCTAGGAAAAGATTATATTGTATTTGATTGTATTTCTAGATTATAGTTGTTTATTTTAACAGGTGTGAAGTCTCTGATTCTTCTTTATGTAATGCATATTGAGAATTACAAACTGTGTGATAACAAATATGAACTTGTAGGTTTTGATAGTGTATGTATTTAACCCTCTTGCTACAGGCTTGATCAAATCGACTGAGTTTGTAACCCCAAAGTGACCATCAGAGTTTTTGTACTATAACTTTTAATATGTTTTGTGTATCTTCACAAAATTTGGCCAGCTTTTAGTAAACATTAAAAGCTGTTTGTACACAAAAATTTAATTTTGTTTTATTATTTTTATTAAACATTTCTCTGAATTTATGGTCTTGGAGTGTTGACTACTCTGAGTGCAAAATTATTTTCATGTTAAGATTAAAAATACTTTTCTTCATCTCAAAATGTTCAAACATCAATTGCATAGTCTCCAAGACCTCCTAAATAAACATTAAATGTTTATTTTTCAGTAAAACATTTTTAATCTGTTATTTTCTCTATCATAACTCTATGTGGACTCAGTCAATTTGTCCAACATTGTAGCCACCATAAAAAAAAACTAAATAAATTTAAATTATGCTTTTTTTTCTAGACTGACTGCCAATTTCAAAAGGAAACTATTTTTTTTATCCTAAATAGCTTAGAGCTTATATCAGTGTACATATTTTATACTTTATTATCTTATTGCCCATTGACCCATGTCTAACTAATAATCCAAACAAGTTGTAAATCACTCGGTGAACAAATAGCTCACATTATTGTATTGAATTGTGTAATGCATGAGCTGCTTGCTAGCATACCTTATGAAGAATTTTTATTATTTTTCATTATCATATATAATCTAGCCTTATTTAACCTAATAAAGTTACACTTTTTACATTTTAGTTACTTTTATAACAATACATGATAAACAAGAAATATATCACTTACCTCTGATCTCTTATTTGTTTTTTGGCTGTCGTTGCTGATAAAATTTAAGCCTACTTTTTTATACTAATGGTACCAGTACCCTAAATTTTTACTTACTTAGCTATTGCACCTAAGAATGTTGGATAATAACAAACACAAAGCAAACAATGTCCTGTAACTATCATAATTTTTATGATTTCTAACTTGTGCATAAGAGCCTTTAAATCTTACCTTAATCTTATTGATCTGAAGACTGTGACAAAAAATTTCAAATTTAAGATGAAATACAGTTCTCTGTACTGAAAGCAATTGACAGATTAAAACCTTGGCTTTCTATTGGTTATAAATAATATAGTGTAAAATGTCAGAGAGAACTATTGGCAATTTGTGAAAGAGGGGATGTGAGAGGTGGGTGTGGCAAGTGGGTCTGCTTTTTCTAAATTTATTACTCCATAAACAAATGTTGAATGCTGTAACAATTATGCTTTGCCTTAGCAATATCTACATAATAATGAGTAATTTACTTTAAATTCTGTACTTCTCAGAGGAGTGGTAAATAATTTAAATAAGAGGGAAGATCTAGGGAAGAAGTGTCACAATTCTCATACTAGAGGAGATTGAAGATTTTTTAAATATTTTCTTGTAAAATTAAGAACTCAGAATTTGTATTAAAATTTGGTTTGTTAACTATGTTTGATAACAAGTTTATTCATATACAATGATAATAAACTATGGAATGTAACATAATTTACTCATTATAATATTGTTATTGCTCAGGCAAGGCATAATGTTTATAGCCTTCAATCTTATTTCGTTACAGAGCCATAAAATGGAATATCAGATCATGCCCACCTGTCACATTCTCACTTTCACAAATTACCAATAGTTCTCCCTGACATTTCATAAAATATTATTCATAACTAATAGAAAGCCAGTGACATACTTTATTATGTTGTTTTCTATACAGAGAAATGTCTCTTTCACGTCCAGTTCAAACTATATTTTAGCTGAATTTTAGTGACTCTTATCTCATAGTTAGAAAGCCAGCAAAATTATTATAGTTAGAGTATACTGTCAAATTTTTACTGTTATTATTCTATGTTCTTAAGTGCATTAATTGAATAAATAAACAATTATTTAGTAAAGTAGTATCATTGGTATTAATAAGCTTAGCTAAATTTTAATGGCTCTTATCGCATAGTTAGAAAACCAGCAAAATTATTTTAGGTAGAAGATATTGTCTGCTTTTTACTGAACATTTATTTAGTGTAGTAGTACCATTAGTAATAAAAAGTAGGGTTGAGATTCATTGGCAGTTGACAGCAAAAATGAACAACAATTAAGTATTATATTTCTCATTTCTCATGTGTATTATTTACTTATTATTATACATGTAACTAAAATTTAGAAATTTAGACTTATTAGGTTAGATTAGGTAAAAAAAAATCACAAGGTACACTTGCAAGTAGCTTGTATATTACATAATTCAATAGGGTAATGTGAGCTACATGTTTGCTGAGTGATTTACAACTTGTATGGCAGGATTATTAGTTAGACAGGGTTCAAAGGGCAATAAAACAATAACATTTGAGCAGTAGAAACAAATGTATACTGTTAAGAGTTGAAGCTGTTTAGGATAAACAGATTTGTTTTAGTTAGAATTTTAAGTCATTCTAGAAAGAAAAAATCTTAATTTATATTTATTTTGTATTTTTTTTATGGTGTGTACAAGGTCTGTAAAATTGATCAACACTATAAAATTAGGGTAGAGAAAATAACATAAAATTAAAGTTTTAGAGGTTACAAAAATGAAATTTGACAATTGTCAGATGAAGAAAAGTATTTCTAATCTTAACATGAAAATCAATTTGCGCTCGGAGCAGTCAAAACTTTGACTCCATGTATTCAAGAATAAATTTTCTTGAAAATAGTTATTAAAAATTCTGATTTCGTTTGTCTATAAAAGACTTGAAATGCTTACTGTAAGCATGTAAAATTTTGTGAAGATACACAAGACATATTAAGTTATTGTATGAAAACTCTAAAGGTCAATTTGGGGTCAAGAATTAGGTTGAATCAATCAAGTCCATAGTGAGAGTGTTAGATTTTGAATGTAACTCTATAAAGAGGTCGTGACATGCATACTTTTACCTACCCATAGTGAGAAGGTTAAATATAGTTTAGGTTTTTCTAGAAATTTAAGATATTGTTTAATGACAGGTTAGTTTGCTTATTATATCTAAAGAAATTTAAGCTAAGGATGTATATTAGTTTGTTTTGTGTGCATTAAAGTGTAAGTAAACTTTATTTGATATAAATTGCATTTAATGATTAATTTATATGTTTTACAGAACATTTTATAAATCTTGAAAAATAGCTATCAACCAAAATCTTTGAGCTACTAGTATTATTTTCTACTTACCAATTAGAAAATGATCTTAGATCATGTGTGTACATACTAAAGATACTTTAATAATAATAATGCATTACACAGACTTCCTTGTGTACATTTTATAGTTGCAAATTTTTAGAAATCTTAGGTTTCTGTTAAGCTGAGAAATAGTTACTAGAAAAGAATCTTTTAGTATTTTGAAATAAATGGCACTTCATATATGAAACTGTCTGGATCACCCTAAAAATTACTCCATAGTTTACTGTATTTGAGTGTGTGATGCTTGCTGAGTCAATGTGAAGAATACAGCTCATTTCACAATTGCAGCACTGGATGAATTGATTTTATAGTGTTATGCACTTCAATTTTGCAGTACAGAGTATATTATAGACTTCAATATAAAATTTTATTTCATAGTATTATTTTTGACCTAGGTTGAGTATAGCTGCTTTTTATGAAAGCAACTTGTTATTCCTTTATAAAAACTGTTTTCTCTGTTCACAGAATTTTGGTTTTATTGTAATGGACGATCCTGCTGATGTTACAAAAATATTACAGATGAAGGTAAGGAATTGCTTTTAATAAAATATTAATGTGTAGAATTTTTGTATGATTTTTGGATTGAGTTTACATAATCACTTACAAACTTGAATTTAGGCCTGATCCAGGTTTGGATATAGAGTGCAGGACAACTGAATTAGAGTGTGTTGAAGAACTTGTACAAATTTGTCATCCTATGTCAAAGACATTTCTATTGCTTCCCCATTTTTACTGAGTTTAACATTTTATCAACAAAATTTTTATTTCATCGTGATTTTGGGAACACATTTATAGCATGAAATTGGGTGTAATGAGTGTGAACATGGATCAAAATGTTTTATTACAGTTTTATTTCCAATATAAGAAAATGCAACTTCAAGATGATCACACTGCACATGATGCTAGCATGTATGTTAATGTGGTCCTTACCTGCATGTAAAATTTCAGGTTTAAAATTCTCACCCCTAATTTTATTCCAATGTACAAAGAAACATTAAATGTCAAACTTCATTCATTTTAGACCATATATAGATGTTGCTCAATGAGGTTGAAGTTCTAGACTGCAATGACCTGGTACTATATTTACTATGTGATTATAAAAACATTTTATGTATTATAAACTATTTATTTAAAGTATATTATTATTTTATTGCATGTACAATAATATGATTACATAATTATATGATTTTGGTGCAGTTAGAAACTTTTGATGTTAGGAAAGCATCATCTATGATCCCGCACAACTTAAAGGAGAAATTGTTTCTCTTCTTTTTCCTTTGTTATGATGGCATTATACTTCTCAATAAGGGCCACACCCCTTTCAGCATTGTCATTTACCACATTCAAATGGTGAATTGTATGTACTGCCTCCTTGTAGTCCTTTCTGAGCTCCTATGACTTTGAGTTATAATCCAGAAATCCAGATGGAATTTTGAGGCACCTAAAAAAGTCTGTTGTGTTCTTTGTGATGAAATTTTCAGTTTACATGTCCTCGGACTTCCTGATATTCAACTGGATGTTTTTTGGAGGTTCATCCATGCCTTTCTTCTCATTTATACTTGACAAGACATTGTAGGAAATTAAGGTCATTGCAAGGAGCAGAAATGGCACCAGTAGTAGTGAAACATGCCCTAAGATAGATTTGTACAACAAAAATACAGATGTCGGGGAGTTCTTGTTCCTCATGAGTCCATTTCGTTTGAACTGTTCCATAAACATTCAGATCTTGAGTGCATATAATGCCTTGGCCATCGATCATATATGATGCAGTGCTCCAGGTGTTATAAATTGCACTCCATGAGGAGTGATGCTACCAAGAAAGGTTATGGCTAATTCAAGAAACTTGATAATCATCTGTAGGTTGACTGACTTAAAGTTGTCTTGTAGAAACTCAATAACACTGTCCATAACTTCCTCTATAGCTTCTGCTACTTCATCAAGATCAGCTGCAGTTTCATAATTGGATTGGTCCATGTATTCCCAATATTGCTGGAATCAATTGAAAATTGCAATATTTGGGCCACAGAAAAGCTTCACACAGTCTTTGAAAACACATGCCAGGATAAGTTCTAAGATGTGATGCCAACATATCAAATACAGAAGATTCTTGTTTAATCTTTATTCAAACAATACACATGCTCCATTTCTGTGATTGGTGTTTCTTGCTGATGTTAAAGCAAACTGTCTTTACATGATAAATGACTCCCCATTCTTCCAGTAAGTGTGTCACAGCAGAAGCTTGAGCCTTTCCAGTGCTAGAAATCAACTTTGGAACACCTAGGAGTTGGTTTACTCCTGCTTCAGACAGGATCAATGGCAGGTAATCCACTTGTTCTTTCCCTGTTAGACCATTAAGAAGCTTGCTATCCCAGGGAACTACAGGTGAGACTGTTGACTGGAACTATTCCTATAAGTTTTTGACAAGTTTTTCACAGAAGCAGTGTTGAGATCTTTGGATTGTTGAATGGTTGATGGTTAACTCCTGCATATCATGACCAAAGCTGCGAGTTGTGGCAGTAAGGACAAATGTTGCTTTTCTGTCACTCAGCTTAATTCTGTCCATACCTACTGCTACATTTGGAGGGATAATATTTCTTCTTGCTCTCCTTTTAGGTTTAGAAGATAATGATTCTTCAATTGCTTCTCTATCCTCATCTCTGTTACTGGTACTT